CCTTTTAGAGTGTTTACGAGCATTTCAAAAGCAAGGACAATAACTCATACTAAATATTTATCGATTTTTCTGATTTTCAATAGCGTTCATTCTTGAGTGATTACAAACAATCATACAAGGTTTTGTCACAATCATTCAAGAATTGTGCCTTCTAGAGTGTTCACGAGCAATTGTGGACGGACGGACATGGGTGACGACAATATACCACCATCTGATTGTAAATCAATTCAAAGTAGATACTACACGAATCAACCATACAATTTTTTATCTGGAAAAATCCAAATAGAGCAATCATTCCTTACAAAGTCTTTTATTACACCACTTAAACTTCAGCAATATAGTTTTGAATATTAACTCTATTAAATATGAAAAGAAAGATATTCTCGTGTTTCAGAATAAGATAACAGATTAAAACAATAATTTCCGTTGATAATTTTATTGGCCCGGTGTCGGAAGAAAATATCAGAAGAAGTTCTCAAAAGAACTGGGCGTATAAATTTGATTTAGACAATGGAGCCTTGCATTTTTATTCCGATAGACATACTCGTAAATATCCCAAGGGAGAAACATCTGTACATCTGAAAATGAATTAAGAACGGACGCTTTCTCAAATTTAATTACTAAAATTCAAAACAATATAAAAGTAATATTTAATTTAACTGAATTTATATAAAGCTTTCCGCTTACCAAACATATGTTGACTCTTCACCAAGTAACTGAACTCTGAGCTGCATTGTTTTAAGTCAATTTGGGTGTCCTCATTCAATCAGAGCTGCCACGTCTGTGAGTTATTGTTCAGAAATGGATGTTCCACACCTAAACCACATCTGGTTAGAGATAATGAATCCGGATTACGTTGGTCATTGGAATTTTCTTTCAAAGTGATCATCTGCAAAACACAACAAATTCGATCACAATGAATAGAAAATAGAAAATTACCTTTTGAACATTGCAATAGATAGAAACATGAAAGTTCTGTTGCAATTCCTCGCTATAAAGAACATGGCAGTATGTGGGAGCTTGATAATATAAGAAATACCTATTAAGAACTTAAGTCTCGTCAAATACAAGCATCAAAGAACTCCGCTTGAAAACTGACCTTAGTTGATACCTGCATTAAACTTAGTATCTTTTAGTAACCCTGAATTCCGCCCACACCAAAGCTGTGAAAACAAAGGTTTGAGTTTGTGGTTCGACTTTTCTCACACTGAACAGAGTTAAAGGTGAGCAGTCGGCATTATCGGGGATTGATTTGAGTCTTTATTGTGCTGTAATAGTCTTAAGAAGTACTAAAACGTGTTTTCTGTATATGGGATAGTCTCACTAAAATTCGAGTCGCAGTTTTAACTTCCAAACATGAATAATAATGGATACACATGGATTTGAAGGCTCAAATTTCTTAAAACTAAGGTATGATTGATCGAACGGATAGTGAAGGTTCTCCTTTAAATCTTGATTAAATCTTGAATAGAGTTAAAGGGGAGTAGTCGCCATTATCGGGGATTGATTTGAGTCTTTATTGTGCTGTAATAGTCTTAAGAAGTACTAAAACGTGTTTTCTGTATATGGGATAGTCTCACTAAAATTCGAGTCGCAGTTTTAACTTCCAAACATGAATAATAATGGATACACATGGATTTGAAGGCTCAAATTTCTAAAAACTAAGGTATAATTGGTCGAACGGATATTGAAGGTGCTCCTTTAAATCTTGATTAAATCTTGAAAAGAAAGACTGTTAACTCTGGTGTGCTTTGTAAAACGATGGGGCGAGGGCAAGTGGTAGGGGGGTATGGGGCTGTCCTCACTTTTGTTTTTAAATCGACTGTTTTATATTAGGCCTACGTATTTTTTCGTGAACCGGTATATTAGCTTCACGATAGTCCAATAATAACAGTCTTACAAACGTAACAATGATAATGTTACGTTTTTTGTAATAATTGTACACTTGATGTAATCATACTTTCTATCAACTGACTGAAAATGTCCAAAAACCTATTATGTTTTTTACCTTCTTTTTGGAGTGTTTGCAGGGCCTAATGTAGCAAACAATGTGTCTGGCAAGGGTCATTTTGTACTGAATGTCACCTTTCATTCTTTCAATCAGTACCCTTTATGATTATCTAGACCAGTTTTGTCATATAGGTAGGGTCAACTTTGTGCATGTCTGGGAGGCAAAACGCAGCAAATAATTTGTCTTGTATTGGCCATTCTGTACATTCTGAGATGTGTCAAAGAAAATAAACTTTATTTTTAGTGGAACCAATAATTTTTGATCGAGCCAAAAGACCCTTTTGTGGTGTCGGCTGGGCCAAAGGTAGCAGACAGTGTGTCGGGCACGAACCATTTTTGCTCAGTGTGATATATAAGCACTCTAGAATTGGTATCATGTTTTTTTTTTACCTAACTGCTCCTGGTTTCTGCTGTATTTTTTAGTTTGAACTTATAAGTCCATCGAACAATCTTCTAAAGATAGTGTATGATCAAATAGATCGAAGGCAAATATAAAACTTCACCTGTATTCAAATAATTAAATTTCATTTTAAATAATATTGATGATGTTCTTATTATATTTAATTCTATAATCATGATATTATATCAAAGGGTCTGATCAATAACAGAAATTGTGATAAATAATGGTAGTTTTTAAAGTGGGTTGAAACAGACCACGCCTAGACATTAATTTCCTGGCTCTAGTCACATGTCTTCTTTTATTTGCTTTATCCATCCTGATTCTAATACTGTCATCCAAATGTAGAAGTTTAAGAGAAAGGGTCAGCTAGCTTATTTCCGTCTATTCTATAGATTACCGTTATCAAAGGCAATAAGTAGGCTTTACAGTCGGTGACATTTCAATAGGAAAATAATGACCTATTGTCTTTAATTTCTTTGGTCTTGTCTTTCCTCTAACTAGGTTTGAGTCTGAAGTAGTCGACATAACGTTTAGCATGTATAACGTCTTTCAAGTAGCTTTATTTAGTTCCTTTTACCTGACAACTACTACGACAAACAATAACTAAAATTGGCCCACTAGTCTGTGCTTTTTATTTCCTTGAAAACATCTCGGCATTTAAGCACTGTAAGCAGTATACTGTTACATCTGTTATAAATAAAATGTGACATATTTTTGGTATATTATCATCTTAGTGTTATAATTGGGCCACTAGTCATTTATCAATGGACAAAATCTTTGAAATTTGTATTTACGTTACACATATACTCAACAAAAGGGTTTATTAACGTTATTCTGATTTTTTGCAGATCTCAACACCAGGTGATGAACGACAACATTAGGAATAACAATCTGCAGAAATGTGTGATGCATATTTTGAATGGGTCAAATGACTCGTTACTACCTCAACATCGAATTATACCGTTTTGGACTGCTAAACATCCACAATAGAATCTTTGGGAAATTGGTTTCCATATGTGACTGAGCCACTAGCAAGAAGAGAAGTGAATTATGTATGCAATTGTCTCTCAATGATAGACAATATAAAAGACATGCCAGAGGAATGTGGCTTAATAACTGTGATAAACTGAGTAAATGGCTAGTTTAGAAGAATAATGAATTTAGCCTAAAGAAATGTAAAACGATTCTATCAATTATTAGTGATTTAGGTACTAAAGTGAGGTCATGGAGACTAAAAATACTTTTTATATGATGTTAGATACGGTATTTAAAAGTAAAAGCTCAATTTCCAAAGATGATGGCACGAGAAGGCATTGCATTGAATCAAGCAAAAACGAGTCAAAGTATTATCCATTCTTTGCTCCATACAATGACAAATTTGGACGCAGAGAATGTTCATTCTTTTAGAACATACGAATTAACTCAGCAATAGATTCGTTTACTCAGAAATTTTGAAACCTCCATGAAAAAAATTCGAACAGTTTTTAAATCATATTGAATAATCAAATCAAATTGGTAAAGCACAGAAACTAATTATTGTTATAATTTACCTCACATTTTCTCATTGATTTCTTATATTTACTTTAGAAAACTATTATTTATCAGAGAAAATTAAAATTGACAAGCATGTCATGTCATGTCAATCAATTATTATATATTTTACTAACAATTCAAAACTCTTTCAACCTTCTTCTTTCATGTCATTAAAACAAGTTAAAAAAATATAGAAGCTTTTAAATTGCTACGAGTCAATAATTATGTTTAAAATAGATACAAATAATTAACATAAAAGTAAAAAAAAAATTTATGTACGCATATTTAGGTCANA